ACCTGCAAAGTCTCTTTTGCTATGAAAGGTAACATTTGCCAGCTCCAGGAGTTTGGTCATGGAAACTTGTGAAGGGTCATTATTCTGGCTATGACAACCACTATCCTTTTTTTCCAGATGAGAAAAAGAAAGGCTTACAAATGTTAGAAAGGCCAGTGGATTTAGCAATAGCCATCCAAAAAATAAGGTCACAACTAATTTTAAGTGTAGCTCTCTCTGATTTCAATTTCTATGCTCTTAGCTACTTTACTACATGCAGTTGTGGGCTTCCAGCTAATAGTTGTACTCAATAAAAGGGTCACCCTAGATCTAAGTGATTTATAAGCATATATGTGTGATGTTGTTATAACTTATTCTGATGTTTCAGAGTAGATATGACTTGGCCAAAGGTGGGAAATGTATGGCCGTGATTGGATTTTATTTATACTTGGGTTATTGTGGGTGTTATCCAAATTTGGTTTGTCTTTTCTCATGGAGACTTGACAGATAAAGGGAACAGAAGAGAGATTAAGTAATAGTTATTGAAAATAAAAATGAACTTTTAAAAATGATCTACTTTATGGGCAGCAGCAAAGATTCCATCTGTTAAAATATGGATTTGAGTCACGATTCACAAATTTAAAAGGAGACATATTCTTTACTTTTTGAAGGGCATGATACAGATTTTTAATATGTGGTGTTTTTTGTGAAGGTCCTGGGTTTGTTTTCATTTGTTTGTTTTTGCTTTTTAATATATGTATTCTTGTAGAGAAGATATTCTAAAATTATATATCCTTCCCAATTTAACACAAAATTACTTCATATCTGCACCTGGCACTTAAATTTTGGTTTAAAAGAATTGTATGTTATTGGCATATTGCAAATCACCAACTGTGATTCTGCCACTGAAATTCAAACAGCATTTGTTCATGACACCATCCAGATTTCATAATACTTGTGTTTTCTAAAAATGCCGGAGATAATTATTGAAACTAATATACATGTATAAGCTCTTCCATCATGTGTGGCATTTAAAGACTCGTTCTTTATAATTTTCAATCTCCATTTTCAGTTTGCAGAAAGGACCTGATTCTTGAGAGAACACATCATTGTGGAAAGTTAATAACAAAACATGAATTTCATTTGCTTCCAATTAAGCACAAAAATGTCAAAACTTAATATCTTCAAAATGCATATTAAGCCACACACCTTATGAAAAGTATGATATTAAAATCAAGTGTAGAAATCCAAATCCTGCTGAAGAGCTTGAAATGAATATTGTTAGTTTATCAGGGATGTTTTTAAAAAGTGCCTTGACTTTTAGTTGTATTTCTCAAACTGAAATTTTAAAATTAGGGGTTACTAGAAAGATGGGCAGTCCACTGCAGGATTGTCAATTTATAGCCCATGGACCAAATTTGACCCACTGCCTGCTTTTATAAATAAAGTTTTATTTAAACATAGCCACACTTATTTGTTTATGTATTGTCTATAGCTGCTTTTATGCTACAATAAGTGAGTAGAGTTTTTGTGAAGAAAAGATGATAATGTACCATAGCTCCATAAATAGCTAATATCTGGTCCTTTTCAGAAAAAGTTTGCTTGCCTCTGCTGTAGTGGAATGTCTGCTACTAACAGAGGGAGACACTTGGTACTTGATGTCAGATAAACAAGCTGAATTTATTACTGTATATGGAAAATTCAGTGTATACATACAATACCTTTTCTTTTCTTTTTATTTTCTTAGAGACAGAGTTCCACTCTGTCACTCACTCAGGCCGGAGTGCAGTGGTACAATCTTGACTCACTGCAGCCTTAAATTCCTGGACTCAAGTGATATTTCCACCTCAGCCTCCCAAATACATGGGACTACTGGAGCCCATACCATGCCCAGTTACTTTTTAAACTTTTTTTTTTTAAGAGATGGGATCTTGGTATATTGGTCAGACTGGTCTCAAACTCCTAGACTCAAATAATCATCCCATCTTGGCCTCCCAACGTGCTGAGATTATAGGCACAAGCCTCTGCACCCAGCCATCTTTTCATTTTTTGTAACTATTAAGAACTTTTTTCCTCCACTTATGTTGCTTATCATAAGGTTGAGTGGCCCAACTATTCATCCTACTTTGATTTCTTCTTACCACTTAACCTCCCTCCAGATTATTTAATCAGCTAATTATACATTATACCTCAGCAGGGTTCTGAGCTTCCTGTTTGTCTTCATGTCTCTATGACCTTATAATAGTTTTCTTTGTTGTTTCATGAATGGATTGATGATATGTAAATGTTCATGGAAATAGCATTTGTTCAAAATGACAAAACTGTTTATGCAATGAAGATTGTTATAAAAACTGTTCATATACTGTAGATTTATCATACTGTCCTTTAACTGAGAGAAGTATTGGCACTGAAAAAGCTTGTATTGGAGGTAGAAGAGGGGGCTCATTTTGGCCATAGCCGTGATTCTTTCCTTGGAATGCTAAGATTAATTGCTAGTTGTGGGATTGCAGGGTGAATATGATACGTGATAGCCAACATTTATTCCTTAGAACTTTAGAGTACTCTTTGAGATCTTTAGGAAGTATATTAGTGTTGTTTTAAGTATATTAGTGTTTTAAGTTATAAGAAGGAATAGAACAAATTTATATTTTTATACTATTTTATAATACTACTGTAATTATAATATTAAAGTTTTTTCCTGAAATAATTTTATACTTCAGAAAAGTTGGAATAATAGATACAAAGTATTTTCATATACCTTTCATCCATCCCTAATGTTAACATCCAACATAATCATAGAACACTTATCAAAATAAACTCAGAGGGTCAGTACTGATGGCTCACCTTCAGAGGATATTTGAATTTCACCACCTTTTCACTAATGCCCTTCTTCTGGCCCTGAATTTGGTCAAGACCCCCTGTTGTGTATATTTCTCATTTTTTCTCAGTCTTCTCAATTTATACAATTGTATCATTTTTAATTTTTACTTTCATTACCTCGTTACTTTTTGAGAGTCTTATTTATACTGTATTATGCCCCTCTATAGTAGTTTGTCTGTGTTTCCCCATGATTAGGTGGAAGTTACGCATTTTTGGCAGGAATACCACGAATGTAATATTATATACTTCTCAGTGCATTTTATCAGATGGTACATGATGCTGCCATGTCTTATTACTGGTGATGTTAACCTTGCTACAGTGATGTCTGCCAAATTTCTCCACTGCAGAGACGTTTTCTTCCCTTTTAGTAAAAATATATCTTATGAGGAGACATTTTGAAATGCTCAAGTGTCCCTGTTACTCCCCATAGTCTCATCCATTAATTTTAGCATATTTTGGTAGATTTTATTTGTAATTATTATACGAGAGGTTGACGAATGTCAACTTGCTTCCATCATTTCTTCTATATTTATTATTTGGGTGCTATAGTAGGGAGTAGCTGTTCACCATTGACTTCCTCAATTATTTATTTATATTATTATGGACACATTATGGACTCATGGATATTTAGTTTATATTTGGGATTATAATGCAATGCTAGCATTATTTGTGTACAGGCTGTCTCAGCTTTGGCCATTGGGAGGGCCTCAGGTTGACACCTGTTTCCTTTTAAGTGCCTTCCTCATTTTTGGTTTTGTCCTTACTTTTTGGCATCACAAGTCATTCCAAGCTCATCATTTGTTTTCCCTGACCCAAGTCCTGAAATTAACTAGTTTTTTCAAGGAGTCCTGGTTCATTTACTGGAGAATGGTATTAAAACCAAGATCTAGACACTAGGTGTGCACATTGGCACTGGGATGTTATTGCTTCTAGGACCTCTCAGTGGGCAGAGCTAGGAATTCTATATTTGTATACTCACAGGCTTTAACATTTTCTATACCTATCTGTCATTGTACCTACCTAACTGCCTACTTATACAAACTGTGAGTTCACATTGATGCCTTTGATTTCCATCAAACACAAGAGAGTTTATTCTTGCTTTTCATTATTTGTAACTTCTATTTCTGACAGTGAGAACATTGGCTTTCTTTATTCAATACATTTTCACTTTTTTGTTCATCTCTGGTGTGTGTGTGTGTGTGTGTGTGTGTGTGTGTGTGTGTAGTAGAGTAAGAATTGCTAAACCATGCACTTGTGAGAAACAAACTAACTAGAATATAATATTCATGACACAGTTCTTTTTGTCTTTTACTTACATTAAACAGTAAAAATAGAATTTTCCAAGTATTTAGGCTAGTTATTTTCTTTCCCATCCCTTTCTGTGTGGTCTTATTATTCACTTGTAACATAATTAGGTTTATTTGTCTGTGTCCCATTTTGGGATCCCTGGTGACTCCCACCTCACTTTGCCATCCTTGTTGATTTCAATAATTTATTTCTGTTTTAGATCATTGAATCATTATTATGGTTCTAAGAGTCAGAGTCTTGAAGAAACATATACTCAGAAAAGTGTCACTTTCCCATTATTGCCACAGTTCTCCCATTTCCTCTTTCTTTCAACCTATTCTTATTTACTCCCTGTAAGTAACCAATTCCATTAGTCTCGCTTTTATCCTTCCTTTACATCTTATTCAAAAATGAGTAGATACATGCACAGATTGTAATATCCCCTTCTTATATGAAGAGTGGCTTATACTGTGTGTACATGTGTGTGTGCATGTGTGCGTGCACACGCACACACATACACACACACACACACATGTCCCTTTCCACTAACAATGTATCCTATAATTAAAAAAAGAAGATTTAAATCCACCCTCAGCATACTGTGATAGCAAACACTTTTTATTGTTTTTACCCCCAAATCTTTGAATATGAAATGTGCGCCTTAGAAATGTGTAAGTAAAGCATCAAAAGTCAGAGAAACACTTGTTTCTTTGAGATTTTGCTTTCTAAAGCTTAATATTCTGAGGTCATAACATCAATATTTTTCCACTGTAGATTTATGTCAAAAGATTATACATTTTTGGTAGTAATAAGATGCCTTCATTTATAAATGCAAATTTGCCTTTCATTTCTAGCTGGTAGCAGTGTTTGATGAGCAAGATCCACACCATGGAGGTGATGGCACCAGTGCCAGCTCCACGGGTACCCAGAGCCCAGAGATATTTGGTAGTGAGCTTGGCACCAACAATGTCTCGGCCTTTCAGCCCTATCAAGCAACCAGTGAAATTGAAGTCACACCTTCAGTCCTTCGTGCAAGTAAGTGAAAGATCTTTCTTCTCTATAGTTTTCATTTTCATTTACAGAGATATCAATTTTTGTTATTCATCCATGCTCCTGTAAATGGAATTCATTATCTGTTCTTATAAAAAACTGATTAAGTTTAGAACCTGGGCAAATGTTTTTTTGCAAGAGAAGTAGGCAATTCTTCACATTTTAATAGATTGGGCTCACCTTATCTTAGACTAGCTAAGTTTTAATTGCTCACTAGTGGTAAACAAGGACTAGAGTTCAAGTTAGATTATATAAATTTCCATTTCCATGTATTTTATCTGAAGGCTAGCACAAATAGAAATAATTAAAAGTTCTTTGTCTTGAAACAAAACATAGCATCATGGATTGATGATCACCTTGATTACAACCATTACTTGTGTGATTTGAACCTTATCTGAAGAGCTGGGGAAGTAAAGATCTCAGGGCCAAAGTTACCTTCTGGGACCTGGAAGAGCCACCACCTCATGGAAAGGGAAGTAGGACATAGTCTATGTAGGACCCAGGATATGTCTTATCTAGGACACTTGCTTCAAGAATTCTGTTAACTTTAATCTAAAATGTGATGCACTTTTGCTAGAAATAATATATATTGTTTGTAACTGTATAATGTTTTAACTGAGCAGTTAAAATTCATTTAAAGAAATTTGCAAGTTTAAAGATTATTTATCTTTTAGACACATATGTTTGGAAACACTTTCATTTTTCAGGTGGAAAATTTGATCTTGTGTAGGTTCACCGATATTCTTCAGTAGATCTTCACGTGTAGATAGATAATAAAATATAATAATATACCATGTTTATATATAAAATTAGCAGATAGACTCTAGGTGTATAATATTTAGAATGCATAGTTTATCTTCCAAAATGCATCCTTGTACCTGTTTTGTTTCTTTCCATTGGTAGTAATCTATAGCATTTTTTTTTTTTTTTGAGTTGGAGTCTCACTCTGTCGCACAGACTGGAGTGCAGTGGCATACTCATGGCCACCGCAGCATGGACCTGCTGGGCTCTGGCGATCCTTCTGACTCAGCCTTCCAAGTAGCCAGAACTACAGGTGTGCACTACCATGCCCAACTAATTTTTGATTTATTGTAGAGATGAAGTCTCACCAAGTTGCCAGGGCTGGTCTCGAACCTGGGGCTCAGGCAATCCATTTGCCTTGGCCTTCCAAAGTACTAGGATTACATGCTGAGTCACTGAGCCCAGCCAATCTATAGCATTTTGGGCAATTGGCTTTCAGACGTTTACAAACTGCTTCTACTTCCACTGTCCCTTGAAAGTATGTATTAGGAGAACAAGCAAAGAATAGCAATTTAACAGTTACCAATTCAGTAGTCCATCAGAACCCACAGGAAAAGTATGCCATATAGAGTTGTAGAGAATGTAGATGATGTGGTGCAAGATGGGGTATGTGAATGATGCCCTAGAGGGTTGTGTGTGGCCGTGGGTCAGTGTTATCCACTTCCTACAGTTACACTCTATCCTCTGGACAAGGTGAGAACTAGGTACAGTGAAACATATTTCCAAGGATACTAGAAGTGGAGCAGCTGCTATAAGTTGTTTTAGTTAGACATTTCTTTATATTCAGGATATTTAGTGTTGCTTGTGCACATGTACAAGCCAATATTTTGTAAACTAGAAATAGAATTTTTTGTGTACTCTAAGGATATACAAGGGGGAACCCCCAAGAAACAAAATATTTTAAATTTATATTCATTTAAAAATGGTGTACTTATTCTTACATGTTTAAATTTTAGTCACCTTCAAAGTACTCTCTCTTTGATGCAATATACCTATCCAGATTCTTTTTCCATTGCACAAAACAGTTTTTGAACTTGTCAATTTTGATGCCTTTGAATGCGTCTACCCTTTTTTGTTTCATCTCTTCTGCGTTGGCAAAAAGCCCTTTGAGCACTTTCTTCAGTGGGGAAACAAAAATTCCCCTCAGGGTAAAATCAGGTGAATAGGGAGGGTGGGGCATGTTTCTGATCAAAAACTGCTGAACACTCAGCGTGGTGTGGGCAGGTGTGCTCGTAAATCACCCGTCATGTAATGAGCAAATGTATTGAAAGAATCTTAAAAAAAAATAAAAAATTCACTGAAGCCAAATGAGATCTCTCACAGCAACGCTACCTGGTGCACTGATGCTGATGGGTTCCTAGAACATTTACCCAGTCAGGAGGGAAGCCTGTACTGAAAGGGGTTCACCCTCCAAAATTTAATTCCAATTTTTGGGGGGTACTCCTTGTACTGTTTGCAAAACCTCACATTGGATTTACTTTTGGCAGTGCTTTTCAAAAGGTAAGACTATGTATAAAGTAATGTGTAGGAATTACACACGTAACCCTAGTTTCTTTTTTAGATGCCAGCTCATTAAGTTAGTGGCTTATTGGATATCTGTTTGTAATAAGCCTATGTATACAACTAGACTGCCTAAATTTGACTTAAAGAAAAAATTTTTTTTGAGTCTGAGTCTCCCTCTGTCATCCAGGCTGGAGTGCAGTGGCACCCTTGTGGCTACCGCAGCCTCGACCTGCTGGGCTCAGGCAATTCTTCAGTCTCAGCCTTCTAAGTGGCTAGAACTACAGGTGTGTGCCACTACGCCTGGCTAATTTTTTGATTTATGATAGAGATGAGGTCTTGCCAAGTTGCCCAGCCTAGTCTCAAACCCAGGGCTCAGGCATTTCTCTTGCCTCTACCTTCCAAAATGTTGAGATTACAGGCATGAGCCACTGCGCCCAGCTGAAAATTTTAATTAACTGATAATGCAGATATTCAGGTCCCTGAAGTTTGGAAAACAGTATCTTTATGTGAATACTTACATCTTAATATATATACTTACATAACTTTTTGTTGTGTTATTATAGTTTCATATTTATGTGTTTTCAAAAGCAAGATGTACCTTTAATTTAGCTGCACTATAAAGACATATTAGGTTGGGTGCAATAGCTCATACCTGTAATCCCAGCGCTTTGGGAGGTGAAGGCAAGGGAGTTGCCTGAGCCCAGGGATTTGAGAACAGCGGGCAACTTGGTGAAACCATGTCCTTACAATAAACCAAAAAATTAGCTGGATGTGGTGGCTTATGCCTGTAGTTCCAGCTACTTGGAAGGCTAAGGTGGAAGGATCACCTGCACCCAGTAGGTGGAGGCTGTGGTGGCCATGTCTGTGGCACTGCATTCCAGCCTGGGCAACAGAGTGAGACTCCAACTCAAATAAACAAAGAAAGAAAGAAGATAGAGGATAAGTTAAATCCTGTGTTTATGTTATAAAGAATTTGATTGGCATGCTTTCTATCAGTTTTATATTTTGAATCCTCTGGGCTCAACACAGTTCTATCACACAACCATCCACATTTGGCTGGCCTTATGTGTTAAAATTTAAATGCTGTTTTCAACCCAAAGTATCTCTTTTATCTTGTTTTTATTGAGAAAAGGAAGTTATATTTGAAGCATATGTATTGTCTGCAGTCACCAGTGGAAAAATATGCAAATCATATTTTTTTGTTTTGATTTTTATATGCTAAGGTTGTTTATATTTTAAGGTGTTGGAAGGGATTGGGTAAGTACATATTAAGCATCTATAGTATGCAGGGTTTTTGACTATGGGAAAGTTACCCATCACACGAGTCAACTATCTATTATGGTGATTTTTCATGACATTCCTTCTGACATAGAACCCGGGTGTGTCTGCTGGCCCAGCACTACTAGGTGATGAATTAATAAAACCTGGTCCTTGCCATCAAGAAGCTATGATTAATAGTCATTATAGCTACAGATATGAAAGTAAAGAGGGCAATAATATGCAGTGATGTGCTCAATTGAGGAGTAGTCAACTCTAATTAGGAGCATGATTGGAAAAGCTTTCAGATATATAAAGTTTTTGCTGTGGAAGAAAGTGTGATGACTTTCTAAGTTTCCAGTGAATGACTTCACTTAGCCCCTTTGTCCCATAAAGAATTGATGGAACCCAAGGAAAGTATGTAGAGTATAATTTTTATTTCAATAGAAAAGTGGGTATGTAGTTTGGGTATTATGATAAAGCCTGAATGGTTTTAATACACAGAATTTTTCTCTTACAGTCTTTTTAAGTTTTCTTAGAAGTTGCCATTTATTTGGCCTTAAGCTTTTTTGTAAGACATATAAAGAGAGAACTCTGATTTAGTTAAATCATTGGTTCTCAACCAGGGGTGGTCCTCCTCCAAGGGACATTGGACAATGTCTGGAGATACTTTTGGTTGTGACAACTGGTGAAGGTGGTGGTGGTAGGGGTGGTTCTGGCATCAAATAGAGGCTGAGGATACTGCTAAACATCCTACAAGCATAGGACAGCCCCCCATATCAAAGAGCGCTCCAACCCAGATGTCAGAAGTGCCATAGTTGGAAACCTTGAATGAAAGCAATCATTGGTTTACAGCCAAGATAGCAGCCACCTGCAACTTGGGAGAAAACTTTATTGAGTCCAGCATATTGAACGCTATTCTGAATAACACTCTTAAGTTAAAAGACAAAGATGGAATTACTAGCCAATAACAATATTGTTCATAGTAGGTAACTAATGGATAATAACAAAAAGGGAGGGGGCTTTGGGTAGTATTACACAAAATACTAATATAAATATGATTATTAGAACCAAAATATAAACTTTTCTAAATACAAAATAGTGTTTTAATAATGAGAAAATAAAGAAAAGAGGCCACATAGTGAAAAACCATATTTATGTAAATGCTTCTTATGCTAAAGAAATAAATAAGAGTAGACAACCATAAAAAAATACCTTTGGGAAAGGGAGAAAATATGATAGAAGAAGTGTAATAAAAGCTAGACTTATATTACTTTATTTTATATATTTGATGTTGGAACCACATTGCATTTTACGTAATGATAACAGTCATTTAAACTTTAAAATGAACATTTAAATGAATGTTTCATATTAATTAATATTACTTATAATAAAACATTAATAAAAGATAATTCTTAAAAATG